ATAGGAAACCACTGTACTTGACGTTTAACTTCTTTGTTTTTCATGACGATTACAATTGTGGAATTATTTCCTTCCCATACCTTTGCATTTTTCTTTCTTTCACCCCGCCACATATATGACGCATTGAAGGTCACTGCAACCCATATTTGAAAGGTGATATATCTTTAAAGGATTGTAAGGCACGGAACTGGGAATGATACAGTCAGAGGTTTTCATGAAACAAATATATAGGAATGTCCTACATTCACAATATAATACGGTATGTTACAAAGTTCAACGAATTTGTTTTCAATTCAGTGAAAGTTAGGAATCACATAAAAATAGAAACTTTAGCAACCTTTATTACTGTAGAGACATACACACTCTTCCGGTAATGTACATAATCAGTACTCATACTGTACATTTATCCTTAGTCTTAAATAAAATATTGAGAAACCAAAAATTGATTTCATGCTAATGAAAATTGCTCAGTAATTTTAATGTTACTGATTTCTGTGTGGCTGTAAAAAGGAATCGTTTGTGAAACAAAAACTTCAGTAGCAAAATAACAACAAATCTCACTGAATTTGTAGAGATAACATCTAACCTTCCAACGTTCCCGATGCAAGGCTTTTGGCTATTGTTAAGACAAAATATTAATAGGTGTTTCTATCACGAAAAGTATTGGTTAAATAAACTCGGACTGAGCATTCTTCCCTCTCAGTTTTATAATTCACGATAGCTATGTATTATTTCTTTTTTTATCGTTAGGCAATTATTTATGTAAGGAGCATATACGAACGCTTTTCATTATGTTTCAATCTTGACAGTTACCTCAGTTATGAAGTTCTATTTCAGTACTTGTATCTAGATATTCTGACCACTTAATTGCATTTTCAGTAAGAATTCAACACCTAGACCCTTTATTCAGATCCGGACTTCGAATTTCAATGTTGCACATTTAACCTCAGCTAAAGTTTACATTTAGGGTTTGCATTGCCAACAAACAAACAGAATTAACATCTATGATAGTTATCCAAGTAAGTATCCAAGACTTCCGAGTTAAATCGTGGAAGGACATCTGTAGTATCACGGACGTGGATTGGAGCAGAGATTAATTGTACAGCACTTTTGGCAGCTAGACTTGATGTATAATCAAAATCATACATCCATGACTAGGATACGTCTCTGTAAGGTACCCACAGATATTTTCTGTTCTTTTCTCACATGCTTATAGTTAATCTTGTTCGCCTAATGCAGTTATAAAATGTAAGCTCTTGGACAACACCTAAAATAGTCTTACTTTTTCTGCACCTTTGTACTCCTTTGGCCGACTATATAGTCGATACTGCTCTTCTCTCTCACACAGGACGACGTTGTCTCCGTTATATCACATTTCATACATGTTACATGTTTCTTGCGATGTAAGTTGACATCAACTCGTTAATGTGATGATTCAAGAACGAGGAATTTGAGTGTTCGTCGACTGATTTAGTAAAATAATTTTAGAATCATGAAAATTCATGCAGAATTTTTGCAAGCAATTTTTAAGTCTGTTTTGAAAAGACCGATCTTGCGTCTGTCGCTAAACACACACTTCATAATTAGTTATATGTGTAACATTTCTAAAGAACTGCGACGGTAACTCCCTGTGGTTAGACTAAGCACGTGGGCAAAGTAGGCCCACCTTTGTCTTGAATGGGTTTATTCCCTTTATGCAACGACAGTACACCATTCCATCTCTGTAAGACAAATGATGTTTACATCTTTTATTATGAGCAAAAGACTCACGGGCTGTATTGAGAGTTCCTTGGATTGAAAATTACAAATCTGATTTAGGTCCACTTACACACTTATCGACTGAGAAAAATATCTTCCCATAATTATATAAAAATGTGATCTATAAATACACCGGCACATATTCTTGGCTAACAGCAAAATCATATATATATTACATATACATATATATATATATATATATATATATATATATATATATACTATGTATGTATGTATATATTATATATATACATACATACATACATATATATATAATATATATATATATTATATATACATACCATATACATATATATATATTATATATATATATATATATATATATAACATATATGTATACATACATATATATATGTATATATATATATATACATACATACATACATATACATATATATATATATATATATATATATATACATACATACATATATATATATATATATATATATATATGTATATATATATATATATATATATATATATATATATATATATATATATATGTGTGTGTGTGTGTGTGTGTGTATACTTGTTTTTTTATTTACTAATTATTTTAATATGATTATTATCATTGTTATTTTATTTCATTTTATAAATTTCTTTATTTTCATAGTCTTTTGAATTCCGCTTTTTGTTTTCCGAATTTAGCCTTTATTGATCTATTAGGGATCAGAAACACGTTCTGCTGAACAAATAATTCCGGAATTATAAGTCCAAAACTACGTGTTAGTGTTCAAGCTGGAAAGAGTCAATCCCTACCACTTTATGTTACAAACTACGGTTATTCAAGACTCTGAATGTGGTGGTTGTTAACATCTTCCACGAAATTCGGTGGACATGAAAACGGCCTTCTTCCTACGGTGCTCTTTGTGAAGAAGAATAAAGATTTGAGATTAAGTCCATGTAATGATTACTCTGTAGAAGATTATCTATTTTTTAAATGCATATGTACTACTTAACAGGAGTGGTTTTGTCTCCCAAAACTTCTTCAAACAAGAGGGGTTAGCAGTTAATGATTTTTTTTAAATTTCATCCAAACGCAAAACATTTCAGCTTACCATTTCTGGATATACTTGAGCTTTTTTTCCCTGACAAGCGAGGAAGTCGGTATAATCCGTTTGTCTGGCTTTCCGGTTGTCCCGTCACCGAACCTGTTCCAAGTCCCTTCTCCAGTATCGCCAAGACACCTGCAACATACTTAGCAAGGCGTCCAAAGAGGGTGTAGCCTGCTCTTCGGGTCTGTTTTGGAATATATGTTCGTCGTCAAAATTGGGATATAGGCTTTCTTGTGTATTGCGTTTTCTAAGGCATATTTTATGAATAATTTGATATAAATGTACCGAGGTATTGTCACACCTCACACTATCCGTACTTCTGCATCATTCATTATGTGAGAGTATCTTTCCCATTCGAACATTTTGGTCCCCATTTCATGCACAATATGTACGCATTTGTCTCTGTATTTTTAAGAATGAAGAGTGATAAAGTATAAAAAGAATATTCAATGCGAATGCCAAATGATAACTCAATTTCCACATGATGAACGTAACTTGTGCAGCATTTCAAATTCCATCTCCTTAGCTTTCAGCAATGAAAGGAAAGAGACATTATATATCAGCAACAGGTGATTCAAGGCGGTATACCTTTGAGAACAATGACTACTGATTGATTTACTCTCTCTCTCTCTCTTTGTTTGTATCTTCTACGTGTACGCTTGAACGTGAGAGTGAACGAGTGTGATGTCTGAAGTCCTTGATATCAGTTTCAGATGTGTAACATAAAAATTGTACAATAAACACTGAGTGAAATTATGATACAGCACGATATATGCTGACTATTTATTTCCCATTCGGCTGGAAGGCCATTTCTTGACATATCGATTACAAGTTTCCATATTATCCGGAACCATAACATAATTATGACTCATCAATTTGCGGTAGGTAATTCATTGAAGATTCATATTCAGATATAAAAATCTGGCCCCTTGCAGATGTATATTATGTCAAAAAGGACAACTGCTATACTAGCCTTCTATCAAATTCATCTGGTATTTGCCTAGCGCTGGATATTAATAAAGATGCTTATCCTATATATCGTTGTCTCTTCACTAGCGCTTGGATATTAAGTAAAGATGCTTATCCTATATATCGTTGTCTCTTCACTTTTTTATAATCTAAATGATACCTCATACAAAATCAATAGTTTATATTTACCAATTCACTAATAATCACAATAAAAAGCGTTTCTATGGGAAGTTTATATTAAAAATACTTTAGTTACAGGTCCAAACTTGTATGAAAGAAAATGGTGACTGGTGGTAAGACTTATTTAAATTTTGGAATTTTTCTTGCGACCGCCATTATCGTCATTACTCTACTACACCAAGCATTCACTATGTTCAAGTTCACCTTTCATACTAAGTACAGTAGCAAAGTTATAAAGTTGCAAACATACATGAGGTTTTGTTCGTTTGCTATACAAGTCGGTTAATTATCATTGTCGTCTTATTTTTTGGTTTTGTTGCACGTCGTGTTGTATTTCAGGGTATTGGTGCTCCTCTTCATTTATTCATCTATTCAGTATCATAATCGTTTTTTATCATATGTGTATATGTCGGGCATGTTGATAAATAAAGATTATGTCGATTTTTTAATTCTCATTATTGTAATTAGTTTTTTTTTTCATTCTATTATTGTAACTGTCATGTATGTCTTTGTCCTGTCGTTTATATGTTAATATGCAATAATGATCGCTTTTATAAATTATACACTAATGGTCGAGGTCATAGTCTAATGATTCGTGAATATACGACGTGAGCTGCGTTGTATGCCGTTAGTCTACAATGTAAAAATACTGTTGGTCTGTTAATCATTCAGTTGTATTTTAGGGTATTTGGTTATAATTATGTGTGTGGTTGCCTGGTTTACG